ACGTCTTCCTTAATCCGTGTACTATAGTCGAGGTTTGTTTCAACTACACATTCCTAGAGGTCAAGATGTGTGGTAGATGAACCTGTTTCATCTTCTTTACTAAGTGACCTTTTAGTGACTTTGAAAGAAATGCCTGATATGTGTCTCATGGTTCCATATAACACGATCCCTGCGCCAAATTTCTTGTTAAAACGTGGTAAACTGACAAGAGATTGGATTTGTCAGTCAAGGGCATGATAGATTCTTGATTTACTTTTGTAACAAATCCAGAAGCACAGAGCGACGTTATTAATTTGCGTATTTACAGTATTTAGACTTCTTGGCTTAGCATACTGTCAACCGATCGACTCAAATTAGAACGTAAAATGACTTAATACTTAGAAAACGCATAATATCATCATTGTATTTATTATATATAATATATCATATTATTGATATATTTTTGTATATAACGATGCATTGAATCCACATCAATGGACCATCGGAGTAGTACTGATAAAAATTATTTTGATCCAAAGATGCACATGGTAATCACAAACGATGTAAGTAACACAGAACTACTGTTACTCAAAGAATACAATTACGAAGTCAATGCTGAGTCCTGAATTTGAACCGAACGATCGCACAGTGTGAGTAGTAGAAGTCCATGAGTGAGGACGACATGCCTGAAAATACAGTAGTGGGAGCAGATCCACGAGCTGAAAGATGACTTTGGCTTTGTTTGGTACAGTACTCTGGCTAAGAACAGTTCACCAAAATGTAGCTACCCATGGATTCGCTCAGACATATGGATTGACCTCAACGTAAGTGCATGAAACATGCAAAAAAAAAAAACATGCGAGTTTAGAGTAGCAAGCAATTTTACATCAAGTAGAAAAATATCAGATTTGTCTACACCACTGCACGTCTGTAAATATCATCCTATCAAGCAAAATGAAAATGTAAACAAGTATGAATGGTATTTTCGGTCTCTGGTTCCGTTTTATTCCGTTTACGAGTGCTTTGTCTGTGCGAGAAATTATGTAAGGGTCACAGCTCTTGCCCATACATTGCACTGTTGTCAGCGGTTATCAATGAATAGACGTTAATTAATGCTCTCAAGAAGTAGTGATGTGGTTGATGATAGGAAGCAACAGGGGATGAATCCCACCAAAATGCTTTGTCAAAGATGAGAAAGAAAAGCCTGTGTCAATAAAAGAGCCACTAATGACGGCCACACGTCTCTCACCATGCTGTCCAAGAGGCCTTTCCTTCTTTTGTTGACTATAGTCAACTTTGATATCCTCATCAAGTTGAAGGAACTATGAACTTGTGTACATCATTAAGAAGCAGTGAACTTCCGGTTTTTACAATCCTTAAGATTTCTGGGATTTTTAAATATAACGGTCTTTTGATAAATCATCATTAAAATACGGCTATGCTCAGATATGCACACATACGTATATATGTATTACACAGTTCTCTTACACTTCTTTCTATAGGAGCCACTTCTGTAAATATGTTAGGTGCATACACTTATTGTTTGATTATTTGGAAACCATCACCGAGAAAGAAGAACTGTATTAAACCTATTGAGCCTGAATGCAGGTTCCAGTCGAATTGATTCATTCTTTGTCACCGTGGTGGCATTCTTTAAGGTCTATAATGAGAACAATGAAGACTATAAAATGTGGCATATACTGTACATATAGATTTTCGCAGACTTACATCAAAAGTAGTAAAAGCTGTTCATTACAAAACCAAAATATATAAAACACAAAACGTTATTTGGAAGTACACGAAACGTACATAACCAGCTTCATTCACGTAAAGACTGCAACTAAAAAGTGAATATTTAGTTCTGAGGTGCAATATACTGTGATGTAATAGGGTAGGAATGTATTGTTGAATTTAAAGTTTTTTTCCAACATTTTTTATGTCCTGTCTTTCACTTGTCAAGTAAAAGCATATTTATCCAAGTATTAAACAAATCACCTAATATTGCAGATTATGAGTTAAAAAGTAGGTTAGTGTCAAAATCTGTGTTTATTACTTATTATAGCCTATTCCTATACATTTGTATATTACTGCATTTTACAACATGGTATTAAAACAAGGACAATGATGCAATAAAAACAACAAAATTATTTTAGACGCAGTTGTGTGTATTCGAGCGTATGTTGTGTCTTGTTTTCTGTGTTTGAACACATTTAATGTTACGCGGTTCACAACTGCAACTAGTTCTCAGCATCCACTTACAGCATACACATCGCACAGCATACACTTTGTAAAGCATGCAATGAGTTTTAATTTGACACACAAAAAAAACCAAAACAGCTATGAAATAAACCAACAGATTCTACTAATACTGCACATCTAAACGTACGACTGGCCGATGCGTAGCGTTTAGGTGTTTAACCTTTCCTGGAGGTTAATTAAGTTTTACTTTTAGAATAAGCTCTAAATATGTCTAATGTCTAAACTGATATACAGTCACTTTTATAAAAACACGTTTCGAAGTGTTATCAGTTTTTTTTTCTCCTGTTGCAGATTAATGTATATCGCCGTATTAATACCATAAGGCCTTCTAGGCGGGTTATGACTCCACTACTTTTTATCCCTCTCGTCATGCCACCTTTTCTGGAAATGCATATGAAAATAGATTTTAGTTTTGTATACACCATGCCTAATGTATATATATATACTGTATATGCTTACTACAAACATATACATCTGAATAGGCCATTATAATGCGGGTTGTACAATTTTTAAATATTCAACGTTGCCCCTAAGTGCTAGAGTTGCTTTTAGTATTTTTCTTCTTTCATCCCTTTTGTAACGGTTGAGAGTTAAAGCCTGAGACGTCTCCACAGAGAAGAGGAGAACAAATCAGTGACAAAGAACGCTTTCCGTGTCATCAACGTCGTTTAGACGACAAGCAAGAATTCTTCAGATAATAACTCCCACTTCAAAGACTCCTCGGTTCAATTGAGACCGAACCATCCTTTTTATTCGCACACAAGAGCTGGCACTAAAGAGGAATCAACTGTTTGGTTATTTTTTCGCCATGTTTATTTTTGTCCTATTCATTAGGGTACTTGGATAAAATAAACAACAAGACAATTACTAAAAGACAAACTCGAAACGTATCTGTCCAGAAAGTCCGTATCCACCCACCCCCTTACCATATATCACGGCTCCTTTATTTCCAAATAAAGCAAGTTAAATCATAATAATAGTTACTTATCACGGATTAAACGGGCTGTACGCCCCCGTATGCCTGTAAACATAGGGAAAATAAGGCAACACTGAACGCTTTGGCGTTTTAAATACAACTAAATGTGGAAGATATCTCTTACAGAAGACTCGAGGTTTGAACAGGAAATGCGTCGCGTACGCTTGGCGCAGATCACGCACACACAAAAAATAAGACTAATGTACCTCATATTTTTGTTAAAAAAGCTATGTATTTGTTCTAGAGCTTCCTCTCAACAATTGTGAGAAACACAAGTGTCAGGTCATACACAGACACACACATACTGCGAAGTTATTTATATGTATTTGGAGGAGGGGTGATGATGTTGGTGGTATGCGCGCTCACGAAAGTTGGTACAAAGGAGCATTAAGAGACTGCTCGAATCAAATTTATCTCGCTAGAAAAGGTTTTTGATATAGTTTTCTCCATTACCATAGAGACCCCAACGTGGCATGGTACAACGCCATAAAACTTATACCTTTCAACTCCAAATTCGGTCTCCTCAAGCACTCGTGAGCTTAGCACGACCTTTCTCTCGCTTTCTTTGCTTAAGAACATTTCCGTTGCTTTACAAAGTTTCCATCAACTCCCTCTGATTCCCTCTGATTCCAGCAGAAAGAAAAACAAAAGTTAACTGACTCTTGAATTTGGGCGTTGTTTTTCTACCTAATGACGTTGTGATGTGTTGTCATTATGAACCGAAATAGTTTATATGCACTATTTTAATACAGGTAGCTAAACGAAAATACTATAGAAAACGTGAAACTAGCACGAAGATACGGTTAGAGCAAGAGTAAGTCTGTACACAGTAAATATTCTATTCTTTAAAAAACACCGCGGTGTACAGACGCACGCCTTCACTATTTGAGTTTGACTCGGCTATTGCCATAGAAATCCTAACTCACCATGAAGATTCACCGTTGAGAAGAAATACTTCTTTGTAGAAAAAAACTTCTTTGAAGTCTGAACGAGAATATTCAAGCTTTTCAGCTGTCGCTGCCTAGATTACCTTCAGAGAAAATGGAGAGACTTCTATCTCAAGAAAATAGGAAATTTGAGATTTAAGAACTCTCGTACTCTTTTAACAACATAATGTTCTTAAAGGACAAGTATTATATACACGGGAAATATTTTAAAAGAGTTAGGATTCGGACAAATATACGCATACATTGGCATAGGTCTATGTTTATTTTTCATCACTGTCCTCACAGATTTTACAGAATGCCAAAGTTCGATGATATTGAAAATTCTAGGCACTATGTGAGGTTTTCGTTTCTAAAATATTCTTCATATTCTACATATTTTGAAACGAAATCCTTAACTTCAAATCTAAAAAAAAACATCACCAACATCGCAGACCAAGTAGTAATAATCATCAGTAACGTTCGTATAAGTAATATAATATTCTTTACAAATATAGGATAAAATTGAAGTTATTTTCCTTTAGCATTCCACACATTTGTAAACTTTTGGAATATAAGTACTTCTGTACAACCCTCTGGACTTTTCTGGGGAATGTAGTATATTATATGTAATATGTTAAACTCACTTTATTTGTCCTGCAAAGAAACCTGGACGTCTTACTTAGTCGTTTTTTAAAACTTTCTTGGCCAAGAATCAGAAGCAAGGCTAAAACAGAAATCACCTGCTCTCAATCGACTTCAGCTGTGTGCGTGCGTGAGTCTGTAAATCCAATACATATTCACAATTGAGATGGATCCAGTAAAAGCTAAGGTGATCATTACAAAACACAAAGTCCCAGGTATTTGTTTATTACAAATTTTATTTTACATTACACATCCTGTGCGCTTTGACAATACTATCACTATAATACTCGATTTATTGAAAATACTTGACAAAATTACAAGGCAGTTTGGTACACAACCCGGAGATTAAACATTCGGAGATCACATCGTCGCGAAATTAGTTTTTGAACAAATCTTTAAAAAGCACACACAATGCCCACAGTTACTCAAAACATGTCTTTTTAAAAATTTCAATAGTCATGTAAAGTATGTAATGATAAAATAGAAATATTAAATACCAAACAGTATAATGCTTAGACCAAAATCTGGCCATAAATTAAATGCCGGCTAACACCGTGTATAAATGGTGATTTTTATGTGAAACTGCTTCATTACAATTTTATTTTACAAACCAGTAGCAAACGATAAAAATATTTCCCCCAAAAGACTGAAAAGATAGCACTTTACAAAATTCTTATTCACACTTACACATGAAAACATCACCATTTACAAATGTACAATATTTTCTATTAAAACACTTTGGTTCGATAATACAAAAATGTGTTTATGTCAAGTTTAAAAATAAATTATGGACATAAAAGAGCGAAAACAGCATTTACATAACATTAGTTGAAATACTTGTGGTGAACCAATAAAAAACAGGCGCTGAAATAATCAGCATATTTTAGTTCATACAGTCAAAGCTGCTTTCAAAGCAGTTTTATGAAGTCAAGCTGTTTTTTAGCAGTTTTGGGATCTGCGTGGCAGTGCTATGAACTGAAAAGTTGGTGGTTCAATATGTTGTTGTTGTTGTTGTTGTTGTTGTTGTTGTTGTTGTTCTGTTTTTCTTGTCTTTCGGGTTATTTTGAAAATCTTCTGAATATTGTCTGCAGTTCGGTTCTGCCTAAAACGTGTCTCCGGGTTCGGGGTTCCTGTAAGGAGGCACGTCCGCAGAATCTGGTGAAGCCGGCTTGCTGGGAGGGGTCGGGATGCCACTTGCTCCCGAACTGTGACAAACATACCACTCGCTTAAATTAGCAGCTTGAGAAGAGGAGAGGGGCTCGGAGTGCGAGGAGGAAGCCGGGTCTCGACCCGAGTCCGAAGAAGGGGAGACGAGGGAAGGAGTCGAAGATTCATATCCGGAACTCGGAGGTGGAGACTTGCAGTGCACTTTCATGTGTTTTCTTAGGGAGCTGGGGTGCGTGTAGGACTTATCACAGCCTCTCACTTTGCAGTTGTATGGCTTATCACTTGTGTGCACGTGGGAGTGCTTTTTTCTGTCACTACTGTTAGCAAAACGTCTATCACAGCCGTCAAACTCGCATTTAAAAGGCTTTTCTCCTGAAAGAAATAAAAGGGGAAAAAAAATTACAAGAAGCAGAAGCACTAACATATAGGCTATGCAAACACCCACACTGCTTGTCTGCTTTATTTCAGGGGTGAACTGTCATATTTCATTTTAATCTGTCCAAGCCACCGAATCTCGCTTGCAAGTGTCGTGGTCATCGACGGGGCAAGTAAATGTCTTCAGGCGCATGTGTCTGTTTTCGAATAGAAAAGAATGAGGCTGCAATATGTTAATTAGTAAAAGATATGGCTTGACAACCAAAGAGTTTAATGCAATGCATAACACCTTCAGGACAATAGTCCTGGTTTGGCCACACATAAGAGGACGTGGTCAGTGTCCAGTAATGTCTTCACTTCATTTTAATGATGCGGGTGCTGCCATACACAGGTTTCCGGGTCTACATTTTAGAAAATAAATAAAAAAATAGCCATGCACCATGTGCAGGTACTGTAACTTATACAACATGTCTTTTCTTTCTTTTTTCATTTACTTAGAAAATGGGAAGAGAATTCTCGAGCTATTGTATCCTAATTCGTCAATATTATTTTAAAACAAAATTCGACGAAATATTCATATCCATACCTCTCACTTCCCTGAAAAGCTTACAGTATTGTGTATTTTATTTTTTTCAGCGTTAAAAGTTTAATCCATTCTGGTATTTCGTTCAGATAAGACGCATACATTCATAAAGAGAACTCTTAAGAGTTAACTGTATGCATCCGAACGCTATTCGCGATTGCTGCAATACAAGATGCTTTATATTAATGAATGTGTTCTTTTCAAAACATAACACTACCTGAAGACATTAGCATTAATCAAAAAGCGCATCTCAGAATATTCAATACTGCTGTCTAATTACAGTTGCGCGTTAAGGAACAATTTGACCTTCAGCTGTTGGGTTGAGACAGCCAATCAAGGATATTAGTGTACTACAAGCAAGTAGTAAGTAGGGGACCCCTGGGAACCCCATATCCATAAACGCAGAGATTGTGCAGGGTCTGCAGAGTGTGGTAACTACGAACAAAAAGCGGTTTTTCTATTCCCGGGAGTCTAGAAAAACATTCCCGCTAGAAATCACTTCCAATGCTTATCCCTTTCATTTTTTAATACCGTGGGGGCAACGATATCTCGCTATTTTGTTCAAGGCAACTGCATGGAAAAGGCTTACAAAAAACATCTCGGGCCTACGTGTTCAAAAATAGAGCAAGTACCCACCGTCGCCATTTTTAAACACTTGTTGTGAATCGCCTAACTTGCACAGCTGAATTTGCTTCCCACGAATTTCATGATGACAAAATCATAGAATATGGAAGTTATTAACATCAGAGCGAAACTTATACAAACAAGAGCCGAGCACTGTATGCCGATATCATGAAACCTTCAGAATCCTGCTGTTACGGGTGCTCCATCTGTCCACGATTGTTCACCGCCTTGTTGATAGCTTATTCTGTGAATGTTGTTTTAATCCTAAAAATTCCTCTCTTTAAAATAGTTTCCCCCAGATATTAATGAGTATCTATATATATCGTAGACGTGTCATCCCCACTTCAATCATCCAAATGAGCTGAAATTGTTATCGATTCCTGTGGAATGGTATAGAAAGGGGATTCAAATGTTTACCTTTTACAATTGTATTTAATTAACAATCGTGTTATTTCATTATTTTGCCATCGTTTAAAAAGGCTAATGTGACCCTTGCATTGGTTTATTTTTGAGAGGAAGGGGGGTTGTACTGGGTACTTTTCCGAGGCTGCTAAAAGCTGTTGTTTAATTTTTCGAATGACGTTTTTGATTTGCAAGACAAGTGTTTCAGGTTACAAAACGATAAGTTGAGCCACATTCTGTTAACGCAGAACCTGTTGTGTTCTGGTCAGCGTGAACAAAAATCATGAGCGCTTCTTCTGCTGTTTTATTTGTAAATCGAACAACGGGTAATTGCAGAACGTCTATCAATGATTAAAAATAACCATTTCCGTGCATGAAAATTAAAGGTGTATTATATGTATATGGTGTACCTTAATGACACTTATTAAAAGACATACCGATTAGTTCCACATCGCCACTATCAGAATCCCTGGATCTATTCCTTGCGGGCAAAGAAAACAAATTAGGAAATCTAGCAGGTCATTACCTCTTCGAAATGAATTGGGTTGTTGAAACCGCTTGCCATTGGAAAGAATGACGCGAAGCAGCATAAAAAAATATGCTCAGAACTTGTCTGGATTTTTACTTTTATTCTCACCGTTTATTGAGAGATAGGACAGGCCTCAGTGTTTTGGAATAAGCAGCAAGGCACCAAAGGGGCTACTGATAAAGTAATTATTGATGTTTCACAGGGTATTCCCGTAAATTTTAAATACTCACTGATAGTTTCCAATTTTAGTCTAGGTATTATCATGGCCCTTATAGTTACAAAACAACGTCCTGGTATGTAACAATTGGTAAGCTATATGTTTCAGCTTCGGAACATTCCTGCCATGTTATCACATTCTCTGTTTTTTTTGCAGATTCTGAAAATAAAGTTGATAAAAACATCTATAATTGCGTTGCTGCTACACGCATGTTGGAGTGCACCTGCAAAAATATACTTTTTAACAGTGCATCACTCGTTGTTAGCGCAATGTATTAAAATGCTTACTCCATATTGCTTTGCACTAAAAGAAAAAACGTTATTACTTATAGAACTCAATATTTAAAATGGATAAACTTTTAATATTAAGAGGTCTTCTAAGTCTTTAATTTTTAAGTAGTGAAGTTTAACACTTTATGGGACTTGAAGTGAAAGCTACTCCGATGTCTTGAAGGAATAACACTGAAAACAAATCTCGTTTTAACACAACAGCTCTTGTGACAGAGGTACTATACATTCCAACCACCAAAACGTCGTCTTAAAAAACAACACCAACCATATACTAACACGAGTATTTAAAACAACGCCATTAAAAGAAATTTGGCTAAATTACTGACCTGTGTGCGTCCTTTTGTGAATCTTTAGGTTCTCGGATCTCGCAAACACTTTGCCACAGCCAGGGAAAGGACAGGGGAACGGTTTCTCGCCCGTGTGAACTCGGATGTGGTTTACAAGTTTGTACTTGGCTTTAAAAGGCTTCCCTTCTCGAGGACAGTCGTCCCAAAAACAGATATGATTCGCTTGCTCTGGTCCTCCGACGTGCTCCACTGTAACGTGCGTTACTAGCTCGTGCATGGTGCTGTAAGTTTTGGAGCAAAGTTTTTTCGCAGCGTGTTCCGGCTCTATCCACTTGCAGATGAGCTCTTGCTTGATCGGCTGCCTCATGTATCGAAAGAAAGCACCGGGACCGTGGTGGTGAGCGCCGAGATTCATATTCAGATTCATGCCGCTGTAGCCGTGGAGAGGCGAGGCAGTAAACCGATCAGCCCTTGAACCTGCTACTTGACTTAAGTGATCAGACCTAACGTACATTTCTCCAGGTATTCCTAACCTTATTTGTCCATTCAAAGCCTGGCCACCTGGAGCTCCGTTAGGCGGTTGTTCGTGATGGAGTCCAGGGAAAAGGTTATGGTTTCCAGCTTCAGGGTGATGACCATAGTGTCCAGGGTAGCTACCTGTTGTTGAGACAAACATTCCGTGGTGAGAACCTGCACCAGGAGCCTGATCGGTAAGCCCTGGCATGGCTGGAGCTGTCAGATCTCTGCGAATTAGGAATTCCCTACCTGCCGTCAGCGCCTGGGCCGTGTGAGACATAGAGTATGGTACTGCCGCAGCCTGCACTGGGCCGAAAGCTCCCGTTTGACTGGAGACAACTTCACTGTGGCCTGCCATATGATGATTATGGTGGTGATGGTGGTGGGAATAATGATGGGCTGGGCTGAGTTTGAGGGCCGCGGAGTGCCCCATGTGTTCTGGCCCGAATGGACTTGGCCCCAGGCGGGGTTCTGAAGTAATCTCCCCAGGGTGCGTGTGAGCCATTGAGTGAGGATGGCTGCTGAACCCCGGGAAGCCTGTCATGCTCTGAGGGGTATGGTGATGATGGTGATGGTGGTGAGCCCCTGCCAAGTCAACTAATCTCAACGCCGTGTTCCGTTTGGAGAACGCGGGGTCCATCATTGGGTTTCCCAAAGCATCCACGCTCATTACTCCTAGTTTGAGAATAACTTGACAGCAGGCAAAATAATAATAATAATTATGATAAATACGTTTAATAGTAATAGAACATATACGCTGGAAAAAAAAACTTTCTAGAGTTTAGATTCTATCTCAGTGCCTACGTGGAATCCCATTCGGTTGAGAGGCAGCAGCAGGACGCTTTGAGATACTGAATAGAGATTCATGGTCGGCGCTGCAGCCCGTGGAGCTAAACAATCAGCGAGCGTTCTAATTGGTCAGAGCTCAGTGATTGACGTCACGTGTGACAGCTTCCAATGTGAAGAAAAATGTGTTAGCGACAGCAAGAGACCAGAGCGCCTGCGCCGAGCCTCAGGCAACAGAAGAAAAGTGATTTTTTTTTTCTTATGCAAAGGGTATTGTGGTTTTAACTCCAGTACCCCCAAACGTTTATTTTCTTTTGTAATACTATTATTATAACAATATGTACGGAACTGTTAAAGTCTATTTAAGTTACAAACCGCTCTTTCTACTTGCTCTAAATGCTTTTTACCGAAACCGTGCGTGTGTGTGCGCGGAGGAGGAGGGGGGTAATTAAAAAAAAGTAGAACTACATGTATTCAGACCGCCTGCTCCAATGAATTCTTGTAAAAAAAATAAGCCGCTTAATGTGCGTGACTTGTAAGGCGTTTTTGGCTTTCAGGAAAAAAATAACTAGCGATAGGTTGGACGGTTTGGAAAGTTCATTACCTATGTGATTTGTAATCACATCCTGTAATGTTCTTTCTCTTTTAAAGATTTTACTTTTGGACATTTCTTTCTGTTACGATCGAAATCATTCACGATAAAAATCTGTCTGTAAGATAAAGGGAGGAAAATTCACCCACTCTTAATAAATTCAGTAAACTCAGTTTTTCAGAAAAAAAAAAACAAGGAGTCACTTCTTAACACTTTAAACTAGATTTGTCCATCTTCCACGTCTTCTCAAATGAGATACGTGCAGAAACCAAGATGCTAAAAGAAAGCCCTAGACCTCCAACTCCAGTCCCCAGAATCTTACACTTCGTCATGGGATCCGTTTCGCTATATTTGTGAATAGCGCAAACGTCGTCTATTATCCCGGAAAGAGGTTCTGTAAGGGACCTGTTGTTATGATCCAGGGTAATTTTGTCCACGAGCCCTGTCGGTTTCAGGCCCGGAGTCTAAACGGATCAAGAGCACAGGAGGAGGTACTTAATGAAGGGGTAAGAGGAGGAGTTAGCAGGAACAGAAAAGCAGAGTAAAATGCCATAGTTGAAGGCGAGTAATGTAGAAATATGTCGTAAATAAGTGCTAAAACTTTTTGAAACATGGGTTTCATAGTCCCACCGGGCGCTTTTAAAAAAACTTTACACCTGCTTTATGTACTTTTGAATGTGAAAATCGTATAAAAATGCTTAAGTATCTTATGAACATTGTTTTTTTGCAAGGATTTTACTTCATAGCACTGTGGTATTTGGAAATTCGCTCTTTCGCTCGGCCTACAATCAAATCCGAACTTTAAAATGAATGCCTTTTGAAAGATTCTCTGGATGTTTAAAATAATGTTCCATTATTATAAAGTATGTAATGAAGACTCTTCAGTGACCCCGAGTTTCTTTATTACATCTTTTATGTAATTATCTTTTGCGGCAGTAGTTTCTGTCCCGATTTTATATTTATAAATAAACTTGTACTTATATATTTCCTTATACATTTGAAACAGTCTACATAGGCAGGAAACGTCTCACAGCACTGACAAATGTTACTTGCGGCGAAATCCATTGAAAACACACCGGTTCTCAAAAATAATAAGCATATCTAGGAAAAAAGCGAAGGGTGAGACGTGTTCCAAATCCATTACGTTACTCTCTATCTGCGACATAGCAAAACATATGCAAGTTATGCCAGTTTTAATTCATCTGGTTTGCTTCAAAAGAGCTAGAATTTGCATTGTGAATTGTAGAATAAGAACCATTGAGATGTTTCCTAATGTCATTGTTTTCTATGTATCCTTACATCAAATGGGTTTTAATTAATAGGAACAAATGACCAAAACTATTACATTGTGCTCTAAATGAATAGGCTAGATTTTAGCTCACCATTTGATACATACTGGTTGCAAATAATTAAGGATTATATGGGTCTGATCAAAAGTAGCAAAATGACAAAAAAAAATAAAAAGGTAAATGCTTCTAGAATTCTATATTTTATTATAAAGCATTAAAATTCCAGAATGTCTCTGCAGACCCACGTGATGTCCTAATAGACGATTTTTCCTGTAATATAATACAAGCTAATATTTGACATATTCCAAGACTACGAAGACCCTGCCTTTCCAAAAGCAAGTTAAATATGAATGATAAGGTTTCCTAAATAAAACCAAAATAATCTTACAAAAAATAATTTTAAGAGACCCGTTTCTCTTTCATTAATAAAAAAGAACAACGATAACATGACAAATTATGCCAAACTTAAAGGTAATCGACTTCGTACGACTGTTCAATAGAAACGGCTTCCTTACCTAATGTGGTCCAACCTCCGTCAAACTTTTGCTCTTATCACTTCGGCTGTAAACAAATATACGAATTATATAAAGCTACCAAAGCAGAGGTCAAATAGTTTCCACTAGAGTCTTGTCAAATATTGCTCATATAATCTGCAACGCCTGTGCAAAGGCATTGGAGAGATAGGACAAATTGCTCCAAGTAGTCAATCACTTATTTGTTCATCTTCAAGACCATTGAATACTAAAAGACCGAGCAAACCTCAAATCCCCTTGAAAGAGTGGCACGCCAATATTTTATTACCTGGTGGTCAGTGCCATACTGAGAAACACAGTGTTCAATTACAATATTCATAATATGCATTCTGATTCTTGCGGTTTTAAGAGCATTTAGCTTATCTTGTTAAAAAGCATAATTTCTTTCTTTCACTACGTGTAAAACGTATATCCTACGCAGTGGAAGTATGAAGTCGCAGATTTGTGTTTTAGTACGTACAATGAAAGTGTGATTTGACTTGCTTTTTGAGGAATTGCTCATGTTTAATTGTTTGAGCAGCACAGATTTATTACTTTTTCTCTTGATTACTTCATCCATGTGGAATTCTCGAGGCCAATGGAATACCAATATCAGTTGATTCTTTCCACGAAAAAAAAAACCGATTCGCGTGTTCTATTTCATTATTTGGATTGCTTTTCTTTCCTTGAGTATTTTTTGCAATTATGTTAAACTAATCATTTTCATCCAAAACGTTTCAGATTGCGTATTTACGAAAAAAAAAAGATGGAATGACTTCTTGCGCAAAAAAGCACAGAGCACTTGCTCAGGCGATACCAAAATTTATTAATTGCTCAATCATGTCCTTGACAAGCATTGCTGATCTAAAATTATTTTATATTTCTATGAAAGAAGTGATGAATGAATATAGTTTTCAGTTTTAAACAGCAATTCATTTTTGGGCTAGCACTTCAAATAATTAATAACTTGACTTTTTATAATACTTCAGAGGAGTGACCGTCAAAAACATTCAGTTCAACATCGTATCCAAGTAAGCAAACATTGTTTAAAACATGACTGCTCTTCGGTGCGTTTGTTGTATTAAAGTTGCATTAAGATGTTTAATGTCGCAGCTGTACGGCGCAATGACATCCCCGGTATACAAGACAAAATTTATAATCACTTTGATGTGCCAGTTTAGACCAAATGAGCGCCACCCCCACACCACACCACACCATACCACCACTCACCACCCCTCTCAAAAAATGCAAAAAAACAGGACCGTTCCAATTTATCAGAGACGTTTGCAAACACACACCACGTTGCTTCGATTATAGATACAGCAATACATTCTAAAAGCAGCATTTTAAAAATCAAATTTAATCGAGCCTCTCTACGTACCCAAACACACTTGTAATTGGTGTAACTGTGCTCAAGGGTCAAGTTTGATTGTGTTTTAGAGCACTACCTTCAAAGGATTGCCATTCACTATATAAACCGATCACAGTTTTTCAAATACAGGGCATGTACGCAATCACATCATTCATTTAATAAGCAAAGCCTTCGGTTGTACACTTTCTTAAGTATTATCTTGGCATACTTCTGCAAATGATTTATCAAAACCGGTCGGGCTACCACAAAAGTCACACATTGTTCAAATCACATATGTTCAAAAGAAACGCCTTGAGTTACCTTTTGTATTTCATATAATATTCTAAGTATGAGGCATGCCTGTATACTATTTGTACTTCAGCAATTAGAAACAATCGAGCAACACATTGCATTATCGTAGGAATGCACAATTCACACCTTTTCTGATTTTGCTGGAGTGCTCAGCCTTCCCAGAAGAAAGGTATTGTAGCGACCTCCGTAAATTCTCATTTTCATCCGTGAAGGGAAACTTAGAGGTCACAACTTCTATAGTCACTTCAATACGCGTGCCTATCTTACCGTTTTCCACCTGTTGAAGATGTCTTCCAGATTTTTTTCCCAGTGTCTGAAATGTGCGTTTAAACTATGCAAAAGAAAGAAGACGACCATCCTTCATTTCCTCTTTTCGGTCTTTCGGGAAAGAGTTTGGGAATGTATGATGAAGCAGAAATGAGCCGACAGGATGATATTTTAATGGCTTATATGTCACGTCGGTGCATGTGGCTTTGAACTCGAGCAGCCTGCGTTTCCTGCAGAGAGCGCCGCAAATCCCACTTGATAACTTCTACAACCCACAACTTTTATACTCTGTATTACGCTTTAACTTGCCCCCAAATAATGCCAGAGCACAAAAGAGCTTTAAGCTATATTCATGTTCTCTCTAAAACCCTAAGAGCAGCATAAACTAAAGAGCAGAACCGATAAATGGTTTATTAATAACCCCCCTACACATACACACACCCCTCTAAGAAAGGCGTAAATTCTCCAGTCATAGATGCAATTCATAAGACATACAGGAGCTGTTTTTATTCAAAATAAAATCGACGCAATGAAATCGGAACTACCACCTCTACTGTTTGTATTTTTTTTTAAGAAAAAAAAACAATTTATCATTCGTTAATGTTTTGTACGTTTAGTGTAGTGTATGTAGCCTATAATACAAGTGCCTGTCTGAATGTATATTGACGGGGGGTTTAAAATAAAAACATAACACGAGGATTAGCAAAACAAAAAGTATTTGAGTACCTGTATCAACAGGCGATAAACAATGCAAACAAACGTGACCGCTTCTGTGTTAAATGTAACACGGGCAGTGTAAAGAAAGGTCAACAAAGTGTTTGCTGTCGTCAATGAGACATTTAATACACACACACATTCTCTCAGCCCAAGATGATGACAACACCCGACTTCTTTCAATGTAGTCATAATAGTGATTTCAGACGCACTCTGCAGCGGGTAGAGCAGGCCTGGGAGTGTTTACAGACAGAAAATAGTTCGTGAGCTTTCAACAGAGTTCTGGTCTTATAAATTAAAACGTGCACGCTGGACACTCGAGATTCAAATGAAGTGAACATACTGATCTTCTGTAAACGCGCCCATTTAGGCTCATGCGGATATATGGAGTACATTTTAACTTTGCAAAGGCGACTGAATTTTCTTAAGTTTGTATCGTCAGTCATGGGTATGGTCTATTGTATGTAATGTTATTGTAAAAGTGTATTTAAGGTACCTGCGGGGAAAAACTCAGAGAAAAATACATTTAGATTGAGCTAGTGATTCATTCTCGGTCTTGATTTGTTTCTGAAAACACTGTTCATGCGTTAGTTACATAAAAACAAAATGCTCACTCGCCTAAAACGTTAACTACATTTTCGCTGGCGACAAAAAAAGACTGGTCAACAACAAAGGCACCGCCTGCCCTGTCCTCCGATTCAGACTCCATGTGTGAAAGAACTCCGATCGACGTGACAAAGATTGAATCGTGAATCTAAAATGAACAATTTTCCATTCAAAGTTTTCTCTATAGTGACCATTTATCATGTTAAAGAAAGCGACTGTACCATTAGTCTTGACGTTGAGAAAAAAAAAACGAGAGGGTATTCAGACTGTGATTTTTTTATACTGTTGTAGGTACATAGCGCACAAAGCGTCTCTGTGAACTATAAACTAGCCTGTACTTCTTTGTTGAAATTTAATTTTGAACTAAATAGAGGTCCGTGTATTAGCTTAATTTTTGCACCAAATGAAAATCAGCGAAATACGACTTATACACCGTGCAATAGTTCCGGTAAGGTTGTACTGATAACCAACGGTTTTGGTTAAGCCATTTTTTTTGAAAAAAAAAAACGACGTCTTTCTGTTGTTTTTAGATATTTTGCGTGCACATTTCACAACTTTTCTCCTGGTGTACACCCCACTAACCAAAATCACTGTCAACTACCTTACAATACCTGGGGATTGATGATGTGAACGGACCAATCACGCCGGAGTTGGAGCCCCGTGAACTGTTAGTTGGTGAGTGTCTGTAAGTAGGGGGAGCAGGCCTTCTCGAATGGGAGCACGGACACTCTCTCACGTGACGCACCCGCTCTATTCCCATTCATCAAGGGGGACGGTGTTGTCTTTTCAATTCATTTATCTGCAGGAATGATTGCGGCTATCAGTCTCGAGCTCACCGCCTGGCTGAGGAGGTGAAAGTTTCTCCACAGGAAGATAAACCGCAAAAGACAATATTGTACATGATTTGCGTTTGCAGTTAAGAAGAGGGAGAGGTGGAAAATCCTTTCCACAATAAAATTTAACCTGAAAGGGGAGTTTGCCAGGCTCACATAAGGGTTAGTCATATAATTCTCCCCGAGAAAGGCTGAGAATATTCCGTTTTTTGATTTTTTTTTTCTCGCAGACGTTTCAGTTGCAAAGTTAAGATGCTTTTGGACGCAGGACCACAGTACCCTACCATAGGAGTGACTACATTCGGCACCTCCAGACATCACTCAACAGGCGATGTCACCGACAGAGAAGTGGGGTTGGGGATAAATCCGTTTGCTGATGGGATGGGCGCTTTTAAAATCAACCACAGTACCCACGATCTTGCTTCTGGCCAAACGGCTTTTTCGTCCCAAGCGCCTGGCTACGCGGCCGCCGCTCTGGGGCACCACCACCACCCCACCCATGTCAGTTCCTACTCCACCGCGGCTTTCAATTCTACCCGGGACTTTCTGTTTCGAAATCGGGGTTTTGGAGAAGCGGCTAGCGCGCAGCACAGCCTTTTCGCTTCCGCGGCGGGAAGTTTTGCGGGGCCACATGGACACACAGATGCCACGGGACACCTACTTTTCCCCGGACTGCACGAGCAGGCGACCACTCACGCGTCTCCGAACGTGGTGAACAGTCAGATGCGCTTGGGGTTTTCCGGGGACATGTATGGTAGAGCAGAGCAATACAGCCAGGTAACAAGCCCCCGATCCGACCACTATGCTTCGACTCAGTTGCACAGTTATGGCCCTATGAATATGAACATGGCTGCCCACCATGGGGCAGGGGCCTTCTTTCGGTACATGAGGCAGCCGATAAAACAAGAACTCATCTGCAAATGGATAGAACCGGAGCAGCTGACAAACCCGAAAAAGTCTTGCAACAAAACTTTTAGCACGATGCACGAGCTCGTCACTCATCTCACGGTGGAACATGTTGGGGGACCAGAACAATCGAACCATATCTGTTTCTGGGAAGAGTGTTCCCGAGAAGGGAAGCCTTTTAAAGCCAAGTACAAACTTGTAAACCACATCCGAGTTCACACGGGCGAGAAACCGTTCCCCTGCCCTTTCCCTGGCTGTGGCAAAGTGTTTGCGAGGTCCGAGAACCTTAAGATTCACAAAAGAACTCACACCGGTAAGAGAACTACCTACCTGAAATATTTCACGTTGCATTGGTGCATAATTGAGAATTATACTTATTGCTATGGTTATTGGGGTTGGTCTGTTTGCATTTGTACTCACCAAGGCTGTTGTTTTGAAATGAGAAGAGAAGTGGCGTACTGTAACCTGAGTTCCTCGCACTATGTGCAATAAAACATTGCAACTTGACCCTTAGAATAAAATATTTATTAACATGATATAAAGTACACAGTTGTATTTTCTATTTGCTCGTGTTAAAAGGTAAAATACTTCAGGAATGTTAATACTGTAGGTTGTTACATAACACCATGTTCTTTTTATATGTATCTCGAACAGGCTATTGTATTTATGAGTCGAAAGCTTTGTTAGTTAAACGAAAATCGGTTTCTAAGTGTAAATATGCTGTCTAATAATGTTTGTGATTTTTTTCCCCTAATTTACTGGAATTATACAATTTGTTTTTGTATTAGGTGAAAAACCGTTTAAGTGTGAGTTTGAGGGCTGCGACAGGCGATTCGCAAACAGCAGCGATCGTAAGAAACACATGCATGTGCATACGTCTGACAAACCGTATCTCTGCAAAATGTGTGACAAGTCATACACCCATCCCAGTTCCCTCAGAAAACACATGAAGGTAAAACTATATTTAAATAATAATTATATTTTGTGTGAGTGGTTTTACGCAGTAAAAAAAAATCAAAACAGGAGGGGCATTTTGCTGTTTGTTGTGAACGGAATTTGCAGTAACTGAACCCAAGTGCTGGCGGATGTTTGAAATTGTAGTGCTGTTAGAAATGAACAATAAGAAAATGATAATTCGCAGTTTGTTTTTTTGAATATGAACACTGAAGTGTATTTTATAGGAAGTCATGTAAAAGGGTAGTTCAGCCGTTCAGTAATTTAACGTTGACTCAACCTTTGATGCGCTGTACTGCTTATTCGAACATTTTGCTTTGTTCATCTGTTTTTTTTAACCCACCTCACCCAAGGAACCGCGTATTTAGGTGTGAGTGGATTGAATGTATATTTAGTTGATTGATGTTTATTTCGTCTGTCAATGATTTATTTACTGTAGTTTGTAAGAGTACAAAATATCAGATTGGAAGCTTTGAGAATAACAAAATACGGACAACGATTTTTCCCCATTTTGTTGAAACTGTGAAGTAGCGTAGAACTGCTGAAGTAAGATCTTAACAGCGAGGGATAGAATAACGTGATTTCTGTATGTTACAGGTTCACGAATCGTCTTCACAAGGATCACAACCTTCTCCCGCGGCCAGTTCAGGGTACGAGTCCTCAACTCCACCAACAATCGTGTCGCCTTCGACAGAAAACCAGAGTAGCAGTTCCATATCTCCAGCATCTTCAACAGTGCATCACACATCCAGTCACAGCACGCTGTCATCAAATTTTAATGAATGGTACGTTTAAAATATTTAAAAAAAGACTGCAGAATTAGGACTGCTTGGAATCAAAGACTTTTAAAAGCCGCCATGTAAACGTGGACCGAAAAACTCGAAGAAATCGAAACCTTTTGTAAACGGCTGTGTAGCAAAGAATGTGCGATGCATGGACGAGGTACCAGGGCCGAATGCCAAGTTTATAGGGTTTTGAAAGATTACAAACGAGATCTCAAATTGCATGTATCCGCGGGTCGCGGCCTGTTTTGTAAATAAAGATTTACTAGTTTAAATATGTAATATTTTATTTTGTAAATAGTTATATCACAGTTTAAGGGAATTTGTGAAAAATGTGGTCTCTAGATTTATGGGAAATGAGATGGTTTTAAAGAAAAAATGCGATTAATAGTCTTGATTGAAAAGAATGTTATAGTTAATGTGTACCAAATGTGAATTACTCTGTATTACTACAGTCTTCACGTCGACCTAACCGACTATTAGTATTAATGTGCTTTTGTATACAGTGCAAACATTTCGTCCCGAAGTCCAGTCTAAGTAGAACAGTAAATTGTTGTTATTAAATGTCATGTCGATAAATCGTATAGTGAAGCCTGAAACTCCGTGTCAATCTGTTTATGTAAGAAGTGATATAAAAAGATAAAATATCTGTTCATTGCCGTGGCAATTACAACAAAATGACTTTATGTATATAACTCAATTTTCCATATTTATCCGCATGTAAAGGCCGGTATCACCTGTTTGAAATTATTCGATATTTATGGGAAAATGCGTTCGTATGTAAAATTTAGTTTACAAAACTGTTTGGTTACATTTCGTACAGTATTAAAGACTTAAAAAATCAAAGAAATGGCATTCAGCATTATTTCCCAACAGCCTCGCTGAATTCAGTGTATTTTTTTAGGTTAGCAGTTTTATTATGGAGTCTGTTAGCTTCTTACAGAACAGTCTACGAAAATATACATTTGATGACTGGTAGGAGTCCCTGATGGTATTGGTATGGTACGCAATTAGTATTTATATCACAATTGTGAAAGAAATTCTCTACAGCAATATAAATTTACTGAATCTTTGCAGACATAACCATAAAAATAACATGCACATTTTCCTTCATTTTCAAAATTAAGTTGCAATAATATAGACACTTTGTAGATAGTATTTATATTTTTGGAACTGTTGTTATAAAGTATATGTTTTTAATATAGTTTTACTACAAAGCATATAATAAAAATTTGTGGGTTAAGCACCTCTAAATTATTTATCATGTGGTACAATTTCGTACATTCATGTTTTGAATTTTATTTTTTTTACATTGTTTATAACCGAAGTTGTTTTGTTTTCTGTGATGTGTTCCCCATTTCTCGATTACCTCTTGACCAGTCCCTATTGGATTTCTACAAAAAAAAAACATCAAATCTAGTAAAACGAATTATTTTAAGTAATTTGATTTCCATTCTGTCTGTCTTTTATTTGCTCACAATTAACATCAGATTCATTCTTCTGGCCTGGTACAGGAACAAAAAGCGGTAAATGGCAAGGTTTTTATAAATCAGATTACTCCTGTCCAATAACTACTAAACGCTTGTTTCTTGAAAACAAAATCAGTTTCACGTTGTTTGGTTTGATAGATTTGCAACAATACTGCGACTACTAACTTAGCAACGGTTGGAGTAACTGTTAAGCTTTGTTCTTCGTTGTAGCTTGCTTGACCGCCCCATTAAGCAGACAGCACATCAACAGACTTCAGCAATCATGAGCTTGGCTAACACTGATAGTTCTCGTGTGGTGGCACAGAATGGATTTCACGAGCTTCATTTTTTCGCCGACAAGACTGACAGACTTAACGACTTTTATAAAACATAACATAAAACACGTATAGCCTACACTTTAAACAAAAACTAAAACAGATCCGCTTTTCGTATGCGTGCGTGTTTTCCCCCCGCATATACATACACGCATATCCACCTTAGAGTATACCTTAATATTTTGTGAGCTTTGAATCGCGTTGTTAAATCAGAACTAATGCACAAAGAAAATTTGTCCCGGCGTTAAATTATTTTTTATTTCTTTAATTACACGCAAGCTGAGCAGATGCACTCGTGCTTTACTACAACGAAAGCTAATTTTAGGTTCATTTGTTTTGAATCTCGTGGAATATATAGCGCCACCTTGCAGTATTGAAGTATTTATCACTATATCTCTAAAGAAATATTTTGTTCCACATTCTTTATTAGTATTTCACGTTTCTGTACACGATATAAGGATTCAAAGAACCAATTTCTAAATTCAATTTCAAAGATTTATTCATTTAAATCTTTCCCCCAAGGTTACAGATTATAGTAAAATATGTGTTTTTTGTATCAGAATGTGATATTGATAAGACAGAACATATGTATATGTGGATGTGTGCTCGCGAGTACATGTATATTTTCTTTTCGCCGGATCAGTTAGTTACCTAAATGTGTTTTATCATCTCGATGAGGTAAACGGTTGTTCCTTGTGATATTTTCATATTTTCTTCTTCATGGGCTATTAAGTTTTGAAATATGTGAATGACGGCAATAAAATGGATTGTTCGACTCTATTTAGCAGAATCTAAATAGTCTAGTAAAAAGGCTTGCTTCCTGTTCACTCACGAATTTTGATTTACGCACCGTTGGGATTGCAATAGAAAGTGTTATGTATTGATCTGTAGAATGAAATGCCTCGGTTTCTTTATGGCAGAAAAAAACTCAATTTACTTTACAGCGTTTTAGTTTAGTATTGCGTTAGACGTAGAACATATATACTAATATTAAACTTCACACTGTCATGTAATCGGACGCATGGTTCCTCATTTTAAGCATGTACATTAACATTTTAATGCGTCTCTGAATTTCACTACATTTAACAAAAATGCGATCAAGCTTTTCACATTCATTATTATAACCAAGAAATATGTAATCTCCTTTGTTCGTGGTAAAAATGTACTTTCTTAAAATGCATCAAATGTGTGAAGCAACAGATTAAGTACCCCTTGACGTTTATGGGTGTTTTAGTGACGAGGAAGGCAGTTACCAGCATTTATATGTTCAAATACATTAATATTGTGTATAACAGGCCTACAGTATGGTTAATGACAACAAAGTTCGAAGCAAATATCTAAACCTTTCTATAAACTAAAAAAAAAAACTTTAAATGTTCCAAAAGGATCTCCATCTTTATTTCTTATAAGGTCAAAAGTACAATAGTGTTATTCATTTCTTAGTTTCAAACAGAAAGTCAGCATATGTCATCATAAGTGCATTATATTTAACGCTTTTTGCCATAAAATAACATTTATCTTAAATCACTTAAATACGCCATATATGTTTTTATGTGTCTAAGTATATAAAGCACAAAGACATTTACGAAGTTCTTGAAAAATCGTGAATACCATTAGAACAAATATATAAATTTGATTTAGTATATACATTTTATACGCGTTTTAAGTGCAAAATGTAATGATTATAAAACCCAACATATTTATAATATGTTATTGTCTCCTGCTACACCTGTTCTGTTGTCTGCGTGTCTATCTATGCCTTATATACGTATCTGCTAGTTTTTAGCTGTGTATAGTGAAAAGCTTTGTGACGTAGGCGCCGGTGAGTTTTCATCTGCGAACCGCTACGAGATGAATATTTATGATACTTGTCATTTCTCCACGGCATGTACACTAACCGCGAAGTATTTGGATTGGTTTCCATTATGACAATCGCGTGTGCGTGTTCACACCCCAAGGCTCAGTTCAAAGATTAGAAAAATTCCTAAATAAGTAGCTCCATAAATAACATGCCATAGAACATTGACTCCATACACAATAAAAAATCACTTTGCAAACTAAAACTTGAGCCTATACTGTTCCGCCTTTACGAAGCAAATATGTGATGTACGTGGGCGGGTGCTGGATTTGCAAAGTCAGTGTAGCAATCCGAGCAACTATTACTCAGTATATGAATTTTATTATACAAGGTAGGCAGAAGTCCGTAATGCTGTTTTTATTGGCGGGGGCACTGGAAAAAACAAAAACAAATCTTCCTTCGCAGTTAATTCCCTTCTCTTGTAATTTTTGAAGATGTTTAACTTTTCTTTAGATTTTAAGGTGAAAATTTTAAGCTTGATCTTAAAGACAAAGCCTGCATACATTTGCACCCGATGTGCAATCTCAGGACTGTCACTCTAAATAGCGAGTAACCCGAAAACGCTATTTAGGCCTTTTATTTACCCTAACGTTTGGTTTATTGCTCGTTAAATTCATACGTGTATGAAGTACTACCGATGGCAATCAGAAGTGTGTGATCTTAACTGTCTATAGATAGGCTTATTTATATTCATAAGTTCATATATTCACATGAATCAGTTTAATGGTGATTTTTAACTCTTTCGAGTCATCGAGTCAACATGTTTTTTTTTTTTTTATATGCAACTGTCTTTAAACAAGGACAAGCTAATTATTGACCCATTACCATTTACGGAATCAGATGCACTTATTCTGACCTTACTCTGGCAGTGATGTTGAACGTAACTTGAAACTAAGTGAGAATGCAGTAATGTACCTCTAAATGTATCAGCTGGCAGTGTTTGCCTGTCCCTGTTCTACTTGTCTGCATATTTGTGGGGGGTGATTATATTAGACACATTCAGAAGTTGTGCATAAGTCAAATAAGAAATTTCAGTTAATCGCAACATGCATTAGAGCGCATGGATGATGTTTTGTACTACATTGAACCCGGAAAAATTGAGACGGCTTCTTTTAAAATTTATTTATTAAACGTTTTAGGAGCATATCATATACAGAATTATACAGCAATATACAAGGAGAGTTAATAAAATGTAATTATTTAATACATGTACAAGACTAAAGTAGATTAAATCCGAGAAAATATATTTTTTTAGTAAATTAACAGCCTTTTTCTATCGGAATAACTCGACTTCATCTGTATGGCATATCTTTGCCAGAAATTGAGGTTTAATCCGGAATGAACTTTTTGGGGGTTTTGTACAGCTGCTGTTTTGAAATGGACGTGTAGATCTGTTTCTTAAATGTAAATGTAGTTGGCATTTTTGTCACTCTTATACGGCAGACCTTTAGCTGACTGGTAGGGGTGTGCTTTGCGACCGCAACTTGAGTCTGACAGGTCGGCCTCAGTGCTGCAACAGCAAGGACAGTAGTGTAACTTGGAGAACTTGCACCTGATGTTGAGTACGCGCTGCATGGAAAAGATAACTTTCCTACAGTTAAGCAACAGCAGTGGAAAAGCAGAAAGAGTAGAGTGTAATATGCATCATGCTAAAGTGTTAAAATATTCTCAACATATCGGAACATAGTGCGTCTGTTCTTTTCAGTATAAACTATTGGGATAAACTACATTGCAAAATAACCATTAATTCGAGGTTTAAATTAATCACAATATCTGCAGCTCAATTTTTTTTTCATATTTTGTCGCTCTGAAATCACGAAAAACGTGTGATTGCACCGCGCTATTCATCTGGTCTCACCAAAAGTGTATTCCATCGATGAACCAGGTTTAGAAATGTTCGCATTTTGAATTAACCATTTTCTCGAAACTCTTAAAAATACTAAGACGTTTTTAAACGCCAGTCTAAACGTTTTCCATAGTTTGCTTT